GTTGGATGAACAACAAGAAAAGAATAAAGAAACACATTTTCCTAAATTCTACAAAATTTTTTTTTGTTTCTCCTTTTTTTCTTTTTGAAAACAAGTTTAGAATTCATAAAATTAATAAATGAAAATAAAATTTTAAAATAAAAACAATTTATATTTTAGAAAGCAATAAAAAAATAAAAACTAAACAAAAAAAAAAAATTAAATATTTTATTACAAATACTAAAAGAATACTAAAAATATAAAATACTTTTACTAATTTGAATCAAAATAATTAAAATTATAATATTATATAATTATAAAAAATAAATAATTAGAATTGATATTAATTAATGAATAAATTGGTAAAGAATAAATTTTTTTTCATTCTAAATATACAATGATTGATTGTAAAATAATTTTTATTTATTCACTATCAACGAAAAATAAATATTAATATTCAATGTAAACTAATTTTTCTTTTCAATGTAAATAATTATTAATGAAAAATATTAAATACAAAATAAAATGTACCTAATAAAAATAAAAAGACATAAAAAAAATTTCTAATTTTAAAATTATTTTACAAATTAAAAAATTTCTATACTTTCGACCTATATATCAAGCAAGTTTCCAACAAAACAACGCAAAGCATCAAAAAACAGAAAAAAGAGAATAAAAAAAAAGGTGCGAAATAAAGAAATATCGCCAATTTTAATTAAAGTTTGTCAATAAAAGTGCGCTCGTGAAAAGAGACGAGATTGTCTAAATGAAACGGATTTGCATGTGGGGAAAATATAAAAAGAAATGAAAAACAAAACATAGAAAGCGCATTTTCTGTCGCTTAACGATGAAGGATGAACGTAATATTATATGACCACTGTTGGACCGTAGGTCTCCGAACGCAAGTCGCAAAAACCATTCGTTCAAATTAAGAAGTTGATACGGATTTAATGGGTTTTGTTTTTCGTTTCATTCCTGCCAACCTTTTCTCTCTCTCTCTCTCTCTCGCTCTCTCAATCACTTTCTGTGCTTTTGTTTTCACCAAATTCGGAAATAAATGATTGAACGGATATCTATAGAAACTTCTTTCCTCCGGACAGTATAGGGAAAAAAAATGAAAAAAAATCTCCCTTTCCACGAATACAAGTGTAATTAGCAAAATACTTTTCCACATTTGGCGCGCAACAGTAAAAACCGGAAATAAAATATAAATCATAAAAGGTAGTCTTGGGGTTATTTTTATATACAGAGTGAACTAACTTCTTGTTTTTTCCTTCTCAGAATTTTATAACGAATCGAAAAGTTGGATTTAAAAATAAATAAACACACGTGAGAAAAATTTACGTTTTTTGCTTTTTGATTATTTTAATCAAAAATAAAAATTTTATTTTTAAATTAAAATAATCAAAAATAAATTTTTTTAAAGTATAGAAAAAAGCTACTAAGTGAAAAGTAAAGTAGAAAAATTTAGATTTATGTAAAGTTAAATAATAATTTAAACCCAAATTATAATTATAATTCTTGCATCAAATGAATATTTACTTGAATTAAATAAATATCCGTTTGAATCAAATAAATATATATACTGGAAATAAATAAATATTTTCTATTACCAAATAAATATTTAATGGAATTAAATAAATATTTTCGTGTACCAAATGAATATTTACTTGAATTAAATAGATATCTACTTGAATCAAATAAATAGCCACATGAATTAAATAAATATCTACATGAATCAAATAAATAGCCACTTGAATTAAATAAATATCTACATGAATCAAATAAATATCTACTTGAATCAAATAAATATTTAACTGAATTAAATAAATATTCACTCGAATAAAATAATAAATATTTACTTACGTCAAAAAATTTTTATCAAAATCAAATAAAATTGTATTTGAACCAAATATTTCAGTATTTGAATCAAAAATACAAATTTATTGACTCAATCAAAAAATAATTTGATACAAGACAAATAAAAATTACAAGAAAAATTTATTTGATAAAAGGCAAATAATTGTTTACTTAAATCAAATAAATTTTTTTTCCAGTAAGTTTCTTTAAAATTTACATTTTATATTATTATTTATTTAATTAATAATTTATCTTTTATATTTCCTAATAAAAAAAATCAAAAGAAATTGAATACACATTTTTTTTTATGAAAATCTTTATCCTTCTTTAATTCAGGAAAAAGAAAAGTAGAGATTCAAGTGGATCAACTCAGTGCATGGTCAGACCTACAGTAGTGTAAACTTGTATTCCTTTTTTTCGACATCACTTTATATACGACCCTCAACAGATTACTGACTTTTATTTCCTCAATTTTTATTTTCCCTTTTTTCTATTATAAATTTAGTTTTTATTAATACGAATATTTATTTTTATTAAATATTTTTTATTAATTTATTTATTTTATTTACTATTATAAAAAAATATTGAGCATATCTTTTTCTAATAAAATTATTTATTTATTTAATTAATATTATAATAGTATCATTTACTTATTTAATTATTTATCAATTACCACGAATTTTAATACAAAACCTTCAAAAATTTTTTCTATTTATGACAAGAATAAATTTTTTTTTAATATTATTTAACTATTTCAAAAGTTTTAACTCAATTATCTCAAGAAATAACAAAATTCTTCACAGAAATTCAATTATTTTTAAAAATTTAAATAAAATTTTTTCCAAAATCCAATTACTTTTAAAAGTTTATCGCGATTAAATAATTTTCAATTTTTACTATTTTCATGAAATTTATCAAAAGATTTAATTATTAAAAAAAAAAATTTTTTATACAATTTTACGAAAACAATTATTTTTATAAATAGTAAAATTTCAATTAAGAATTCGAATTATTTTCATCGCAGAATTTCGAATACTTTTAATACAATTTTAAATTGATTCCTCGAAAAATACAATTAATCTTAAAAATTTTATTAAAACTTGACGAAAGAATTTTATTTTAAGAAACATTTAATTATTAAATAAAATAATAAAATTAGTTGCAATAATTCAATTATTTTCATAAATAACTTTTAATTCGTCGCAGAAAATCAATTATTTTCAAAATTTTTTTAAGTAATTCTGCAAACGAATTCAATTATCTTTATAAACAAAATTTTTCCCATAAAATCAATTATTTTAAGGAATTTTAATAAAATTTTTTTTCCAAAATTCAATTATTTCAATAAATATCAATATTCATTGCAAGAATTCAATTCTTTAGAAAAATAATAAAATACTTTGCTGGAATTAAACTATATTCAAAATTTTTTAAAAATTCTCGTCAAGAATTAAATTATCTTTATAAATAGATAGCGAAATTCTTCTCAAGAATAAAATTATTTAAAAAAATTTTAATAAATTTCTTGGCAAAATTTCAATTATTTAAACAAAATTCAATAAAATTCTTCGCATGAATTTATTTACATAAATTATTATTTAAATTCTTCTCAGAAATCCAATTATTTTTAAAAAAATGTAATAAAATTTTAAATTCTTCAAAAAGTTTTCAATTATTTACAAAAATTGTTATAAAATTATTTTTTACAATAAATTTCACTAAGATTTTAATTAAATTTCTTTAAAAAAAATGAAATATTTTATTATTTTCAAAAGTTGTTAATAAAATTCTTCGTAAAAATTAAATTTCAAGTTTTTACGAAGAATTTTTATTAACAACTTTTGAAAATAATAATAGAAATTTCATAAAATTGAATTACTGTGAACAGATGGATTTGAAAATTCTCAAAGAACTTTTTCAAAAATTATTAAAAATATTAAAAATAATTGATATTTAAAGAAAAATATTGTAGTTAAAAATTTTAGAAAATGTTTATTCGATTTAAATAAAAATGTATTTAATTTTAATCATGTGATTATTATAATTATTATAATTATATGATTCCAGTAAATATTTATTTGATTCGAAATTCGAATATAAACATTAATTTAATACTAGACAAATAATCGGTTTATTTTTTAATCAATTTTTTTTTCAGTGTACTATTATTACCTAGTATTTTCTTTATTTAAATTTTATACACAGGAAGAAAAAATTTATTTGATTGAAATAACAGATTATTTTTCTATCAAATAAATATTTTATTCAGTGTATTTTATTTATATAGCACTGACACGAGACATTACAAAAATATATTATTTTTAATATTATTATTACTGTCACTATTATAAAATAATAACGACGAAGCAATAAATATAAATATATTAATTAACATAATTATGAATAACAAAATTTGATTAATTAAATATAATTACAATAGTAATTATATTGTAATTATATTTGTAATTATATTTGTAATTATATTTGTAATTATATTTGTAATTATATTTGTAATTATATTTAATTAATCAAATTTTATTATTTATTATTAACTAATATTTATTAGTTATATTAATATAACTAATAAATATTAGTTATTAGTTATTAGTTATTAATCATGTTAATCAATTTATTATTAATTTAACAAATAAATAAATAAATAAATAATAAATAAATAAATAATAAATTTTGCAAATTTCTTAATAATGAAAAATTTTTATGAAATATTAATTTTGCTTTCTAGTTATAAGCAGGAAATAAAAATTCTCTTTCCATTCTTTTTTTTCCTCGAAAAAAAGTTTCCGCAGGAGAAATAAAATTAAGTGAAAAGTGTGTGTGTGTTCCTGTGTGTATTTTATAAGAAAAGAGGTGTGAAAATCGACTTTCTTCCGGTGCACGAATTTCAAAAACTACTTTATAACTTGATATATATCTGCGCATGAAAGTCGTCGAATAAAATTAGCTGGAATTGTTGTTGTGTTTTACCAGAAGTTGAACTGACGGAACGGTTGCGCTTGCGATATTATAAAAGCTATTTTCTCTCTCTCTCTCTCTCTTTCTCTCTTATATATAAAAAAGAAAGAAATAAATTCTCATCTGTTGTTCTTCATTTTTATTTTTGTTTTGTTTCTACATTCTTTTCTTTTTCAATTGTTTTGCAGTTCTGGCTAGTGGCCGTGGTGAGGAGTGCGGACACGAGGAATTATCCAGATGTGCCAAGCCACTTCAAGAAATCACCCGCAACAACGATCTGAGCATTTTCATCAAGAAAGAAGAACTCGATCAAGTTGTCTGCCCGTGAGTATTTTTTTCGCTTCACTTTTAAAACTAATTAATTATCAGTTAAAATTCCCCCAATGCTTCAATTAAAAACAAATCTATAACGATTATTTATATTTCACTCTCTTTTTCTCTTTTTTAATTCTTTTCATTATTCCTCAAAGTATTTAAAGAACATTTAATTAATTAATTATACTCCTCTCATTACTTATTCATTTGTACATTTTTCAATTCTTTACTTTTAGTATTTTTCTTTAAAGAATGTTATTCTTTTTAAATGATAATATTAAAAGTAGAATAATATTCCCCTTTTTAATTTCTATTCTTTCTTTTTATCATTTTTATTTAATAATATTTTATAGAAAAATATTTATTTACCAAAAAATAATTGCAAATTATTAATAATTATCTGAAAATATTATACTCGAAATATTACAAATTAATTTCTATTATCAATCAATAATAGAAATAATAAATTAGTAGTACAAATATTTATTTCAAGAGGAGAGAAAATATAAATATTGTTATTTTTATTAAAAGTTAAAGAGAAATTTATAAAATAAATTAATAGTGTTTTATTTATAAAAAATAGAAAATTGTTAAAAAATTATGATTAAGAAATTGAAAATAAATACCCATTTTTCCAAATTTTTATTTCTCAATAACAATATTGTTCACAAACTCATTCTTTATTATTTTATTATTATTTTATTTCTTTGGAAAAAAAACATTACATATTTTCGTAGAAAATTTTCAATTTTCATATAAGGAAATAATTTACATAATTTCTATTTCTTAATTACAATTGTTTCAATAAAATTCAAAATTTTTTCCAAATAAAGGGAAATAATGTTAATAAATTCTATTTCTCAATTACAAATTTTAATTGAAATGAGCTTAAAACTTTTTAAATTTTTAGAAAATAAAAGGAAATAATTTTACTCAAAAAAATGTTCTATTTTCTTTAATTGTAAAATTATTCGAAAACATAAATAACTTATATTTAAATAAATATTTAACTATTATTATTTTTCCACAGGAATTAAGACATTGAAAAATTTCAAATTTAAACTTTTCTGAAATTAAACAACTTATAAATCATAATCGATTAATTAATTAATTTAATTATAAAAAAATTTAATTTTTTTAATTATTAATTAATTATAATTGATTTCTTCATGTTTTATAATAATTTATAATAATTTATAATAATTAAAAATTGAAAAAATTTATAAAAAAAAATTGTAAATAATTGAATTTCTGTGGAATTTTTATTATTTTTGAAAATAATTAAATGTTTGTGCACAATTTTATTAAATTTTTTTTCAATAATTAAATTCTTTTAGGAAATTTTTTTTAAATAGTAGATATTAAAGATAATTTAAATTAGGACAAGAATTTTTTTTGTCATTTTTGAAAATAATTGAACTTCTTTAATAAATAATTATTTGCAAAGATAATTTGAATTTTGACGAGAATTTTTTTTTTTAATTTCGAACATAATTGAATTTTATGAGAAGAATTTTATTACTTTTGAAAATAATTGAATTTCTGCAATTATTTATAATTTCTCCAAAATTGAACTTTTTTTCAGTGTGTTCCACAAAAATTTGAATTAAAATTTTTTAACTTCTATTAGTTTTAAAATTGCTAATTTTATTTTATTTTTTATTTTTTACTAATTTTTTACAAAATTAAGTAAAAAATTAGTTAGAATTGTTACTAGTATAAATTATTATTAAAAATTATAAATAAATTTATAAACTAAATAATAAATTAACATCGCAAATATTTATTTCTCGAGGAGAAAAAAAATTAATATTGCAATTCAGGTCAATTAGACCAATTTGTTGGAAAAGTAAGTCATACTTAGAATTATTACTTTTTCTTACAATCTAAAAAAAAAAATTCTTCTAAAAAATATCTTCATTTAGATTGATTATAAAAAAATCGTACAATCTAAATAAAAATGTTAACAATTATAAAAAAAATCCTTCTTAAGAATATCCCCACTTAGATTAATTACAAAAAAAATCCTTCTATTCCCAATTATCCTAAAAAGTCTCTGATTCTATTTCTTATTAAGATTCCCTCACGAAAAGCATTTTTAATTTACTAAATCGACAATTAAAAAAGTTTTCCCCATTTTTTTTTCTTTTTTTTCCAAAGAAAATTTCATTTGTAACACGTTTTCCATTGTTCCATCTTTTTCTCTTTCTCTGAAACTTGAATTCTTCTTCTGAGGAGGGGGGGGGGGGTGTTGTAAAATAAATTATTTTAAGTAACTCCCAAAAGTTACCCGTTGGGAATTCACTTTAAATGCGATTAATCGTAGAATCACTCGACAAGTTTTTGAAGCAGTAGACAAATGCGGTAAATTCGAGAGAGAGGGGAGAGAGAAAGAGAGAAAGAGAAGGAGAGAGATACCTTGTAAATGGAAACGATTTACTTAAGGGAATCTTGCACGATTGTTCACTACCGAATTTTCATCATGTCTACAAGACGCGGCAGCCTCACTTTCTTGGCGGTCGTGAAGAGATATGATGAATCAAACGCAAGAGCGGAACAAAGAGGAAGATGAACGTCACTAATTACCACTGCTTTTAAGCTAATTTCGTTTCTCATGAGAGATGCGAGTCACGCGTTCTCAGTAGTTTATAAAGGATATTTCATTTAACATTCGAAAATATAATATAATAATAATAATAATAATAAAAATAATAATAATAAAAAAAATAATAAAAAAAAAATAAATAATAATAATAATAAACTATAATATATTTTAAAGTACATATTAATTTTATTTATAAAATAAATATAAATTATTTAAATTAATTATATAATATAAACTTTATTTTATTTATTTATTCTTCTATTTTATTTTCATTATTTTATTACTAAAATCATTATTATTGTTACAATAATAATTTAAATAATTTTCAATGAGTCTTATTTTATTTTTTTTTTTATTTAACTATTGGACTACTATTTATTTATTTTATTAAAACTAATTATAATATACAATACACTTACTCTTTAAATTTTCTTTTTTAATAATTAATATTAATTATTATTACCTTTCTTATATATTATTTTATGATTATTATTATTATTAACTAGCAACAATTCGTGCGCTAAAGCGCGCGGCTAACTTTTTAGGATAAAATTAACAATTTTAAAAAATAATAGATTTTAAAAATTTGTAATTCAACTTTTTGTTGCAAACACTAAAAAACCAATTTTGGAAAAATTATAAACTATTGCAGAAATTCAATTATTTTCAAGAGCGATAAAATTCTTCTCATAAAATTCAATTATCTTTCAAATTTAGAAAAAAAAATTCTCGTCAAAATCCCAATTATCTTTATAAATAACAAAATTCTTCACCAAAGTTTAATTATTTCCAAATCAACTTATAATAATAAAACTTTCCCAAGAATTCAATTATTTACAAATTTTTTAAATTGCTTCGCAATAATTCAATTATTTTTATAAACAATAATAATTTTTTTTAACGAATTCAATTATTTTCATAAAAAATAATTAAAAATTGTAGATAATAATAATTGATTTGAAATGATGAAAATAATTTTGAAAAAGTTATTTTTAAAATAAATTTTTAATTTAAATTTAACCAAAAAATAATTTTTTAATTTAAATACACCAAGAGACAAATTTTATTCATACCAATAAATAAATAAAAATATAATTTACTTGAGTTAAATAAAAGTATATTTGTCTCAAAGCCAACAAGGTTAATTATTTGTTTCAAATAAAAATGTTATTCGAAATAAATAAAACTTACATTAGAACATTAATTTATTTGAATACAAATTTAATTCAAAATAAATAAAACTTTTATTGGAACATTAATTTATTTGAAGAAAAATTTAATTCGAAATAAATAAAACTTTTATTTTAACTTATAAATTTTATTCAAAAATAAATACAACTTATATTTGAAGCAAATAAAATTTATTTGAACTAAATAAAAAGTCTAGTTGACTCCGAGATAAATATATATATATATATATATATATATTTTTCCTGAGTGTATAATTAAGAAATAAATTTTCAATTTTATAAATTACTTATAATTTACTAAAAATGTCGATTATAAATTAATAATTAAAAATTATCGAATTAAATATGTATTCACGAATGGAATTGTAATTTCAGCATATGCTTAGGAAAATTTATTTGCCCGGGGAAACTTGGAAAGTTTTCGAGTATTATCTATCCGACTATCTAGGGGAAGTAATTTATCGAATCCTCATAATTTCCGACCACGATAATACGAATCTACGATTGGTTGGTTTAGATAGCAGCAGATGTAGCTGAATTATTGAATAGGATTTGCAAAAAAAAATAAAATAAAAGAAATTTCTTCTGCCTCTATTGAACTGTGCAAGGACCTTACACTTTATTTTCCATTATCAAATTTATTTCCCATATTAGTATTTAAATCTCTCGAGGAAAAATGAAAGTTCAAATTATTTGGTAAACGATTTTCTCTTTATTTCTCCATTTTTCCTCTTTTTTTCCCCATTTTTTATTTCAAAATCGAGGAAAACAAAACTTCTGATTGATTATTTATTTTCTCTTTTTCCCCTATTTTTCTATTTTTACTTTCAATCGTTTTTTATTAATTTCGTTTTTAAAGAAGAAAATGTTTCTTTTTTATTTCAAAGTTTCTTTCTTTTTTTTCTTTAAATCGAAAAAACGAATAATTTCTGTTTTCAAATATTTTCTTAAATTAAAAGAAAAAAGAATTTGAAATTCCCCCCTCCCCCAAATAAAATTCTGTTTATGGAAAATATCTCTTAAAAAATAGTTTTAATTTAAATTATTAAAAAGTTCGAAATACAAATTTTTTTATTTGATGAAAAATTATTTTTAATGATAAAATTAATTTTTAATATTTTGTAAAAAAAGATTGAAAATACAAAAAAGAAATTTAGTTATTGAATTAGTAAAAAGATCCAACTACCTAAATTACTTCAAATACGATTTTTTATTTATTTCCTTCTTCACAAATTTCTTCTTTTTCCATATTTTTTTCCTTTTTTTATTCAAAAGTTCCCTTTCTTTAAATATTTTCTGAAATTAAAAAAAAAAAATTTGAAAATCTCCCAAAAATTTATTTTCTCTTTTTCCCCTATTTTTCTATTTTTACTGTCGATCGTTTTTTATTAATTTCGTTTTTAAAGAAGGAAACGTTTCTTTTTTATTTCAAAGTTTCTTTCTTTTTTTTGTGTAAATCGAAAAAACAAATAATTTCTGTTTTCAAATATTTTCTTTAATTAAAAGAAAAGGAATTTGAATCCCCCCCCCCAAAAAAAATTCTGTTTATGGAAAATGTCTCTTAAAAAATAGTTTTAGTTTAAATTATTAAAAAGTTAGTAATAAAAATTTTTTTATTTTATAAAAAAATTATTTTTAATGATAAAATTAATTTTTGATATTTTGTAAAAAAAAATTGAAAATACAAAAAAGAAATTTAGTTATTGAATTATTAAAAAGTTCCAACTACCTAAATTACTTCAAATACGATTTTTTATTTATTTCCTTCTTCACAAATTTCTTCTTTTTCCATATTTTTTTTTAATCGAAAAAACAAAAAGTTCCTTTTTTTGTTCAAAAGTTTCCTTTCTTTAAATTTTTTCTGAAATTAAAAAAAAAAGAATTTGAAAATCTCCCAAAAATCCTTCTTAAAAAATAGTTTTTAATTATTAAATGATTAAAAAGTTAGAACTGAAAATTCTTTTATTAGATACAAAAAAAAAATTCTTTTCGATATTTGAAAATTGTTAATATTTTTTAAAAATAAATTGAAAATATTATAAAGAAATTCCATTTTTGGAGAATATCCCTTAGAAAAAAATAATACACTAAAAAAAAAAAAATAAATAAAAATAAATAAACTATTAATAAAAAACTAACTATTAATAAACTATTAATAGTTTTTGGTTACTGAAGTACTAAAAAGTTGCAATTAATAATTTTTTTTATTAAAAAATGAAATTTTCTCAATGTAATTGAAAATATTTGTTTAATATTTTCTTAAGTAAAAGAAAAAGAAAAAGAAAATTTGAAACAACCGAAAAGAATTTCCATTTTTTGAGAATAACCCTTAAAAATAGTTTTTAGTTACTGAATTTTTAAAGTTCCAACTAATAATTTTTTTTTTATTGCAATAGAAAATTTTCTTTAACAATTGAAATTAATTTTTAATATTTCCTTAAACAGAAAAAAATGAAAATACCGAAAGAATTTTGATTTTTGGAGAATATTCCTTAGAAAATAATTTTCAGTTACTGTATTAGTAAATTTTTATTTTAATCACTAAATTAAATTATTAAAAAGTTCTAATATTTTTTTTTAATTACAGTAGAAAATTTTTTTCAACAATTGAAATTAATGTTTAATATTTCCTAAAATAAAAAAAGAAAACTTAAAATACCGAAAAGAATTTACATTTTTGGAGAATATCCATTAAAAATATTTTTTTAATTACTATTTCAACTAAATTACTAAGTTACTTAAAATTAAAATTTCTGTCTAGTAAAAATTTGTTTATTGGAAAACAAATCTTTCTCCAATAAAATGAAAATAAAATTTAAATATTTTCTCCCATTTTTCTGTTACAGAATATTGGAGGACGGTGTAAAGTGTATTAATTTCTACACAATGAGGTGTATGAAGGAACAACAGAGAGATCAATTCAATACAATTTATGCAGGCACAAATATGGCAATTAGAGAGCTCTGTCAAGAAGGAACTTACCAAGACGGTAAGGATTGACACTTAATCAGAGAAAGATGAAGGCGAATATCGATTTATTGATTGTTAATAAGAGAGTGAGTGAGCGAGAGAGTTTAGAGGCTGATTACGTCAAAATCAAAAGCGGTAATATTCCGTAATGTAGAGAATGCGAAGTGCATTATCTCACATCCTATACATATATGATGTGCAGTATACATTTGTAGGCTCAGTGCTTAAATATCCTTCGTCAAAATTTCAAACTCCAACTGAATCTCCTCTCTTCACTCAATTTATGACGAAGAAAATTCACATACATATATATATTCAAAGACTAGACCACAAAATACATTTCCTGTAATTTTACAATTTAGACTCAAAATTTAATGTTAGTTTCTATTGTGACCTGAAAATTTTCTTTCGCCACTTTCAATGTTCGCACTCATATTTATAATGAGAAATTATTAAAATGTATTATTTATTATTATTATTTTTGTCCTAGTTATTCCAGAATATTTTGCCCCAACAATATTTTATCTCGTGACAAAATTTTTTTTTTTATTTATTTATTGACATTATTTGTATTTTTTCCCATTTTCCTTTCTATTTTTTTTTTTGTGCAAAACCCTCGAAATTTTTGCATTTTGACGTCTTCTTCGCTTTTTTTCGTTTTTGATTCAATGATTGATTGATGTTTTATGAATATTTTTCACAAACTAATTAATCATCCAGAATAAAAGAAATGTATGATTTTTTTCTACTATTTCCATTTATATAATATTTTTGAAATATTTTTTCAGATTAAATTAATTGAATTATATTTTTTTATACAATAAATATAATTAATTTACATTAAAAATGTATATGAAATGTATATTAAAAATGTATTTCTTTTTACATTTTTGTATTTTCTTGCATAAAAAATATTTTTGGAATTAGAAAATTTATTTTTTTACTGTACATTTTTTTCAAATGTAAAAAATATTTATTTTACTTCAAAAAAGTATTTTTTTACTTTAAAATACTTCATCATGTTTAAAAAAAATACTTAGGTATCTGCATCAATAAAAATACAATTTCTTGCAAAAAATGCATTTTTTAAATTAAAAACGTACTTTTTCAAATAAAAAAAAATCAAGTTTGACTCAAAATGAATATTTTGAATAATTTTCCTTTTTTTGGGAAAATTTTTAAATTAACAGACAATATAATTTAAACAAAAATAAAAACATGGTAAATGAATGGAAAGAATTGAAATAATGGAATTAATAAAATTAAAGAAATTAATAATTTTCAGTAAAAAAAATCAGTTTCGAATTGTAATTATTTTTTAATTACTCTCTCTCTCCCTCTCCCTCTCATGTGTTTAAGCACTGTAATTTCATTTAATGAAACTGACTGTGAATCTAAATTTTAATCACACTTCCCAGTCTCTTTAATCAATATTAGAAATTTTCACTTCAAAGTGTTATATAATATGGTCGAATAAACCTGCAACTATAAATCATCTCTGATTATTAACTATATTCAGACCAATTTACCAAAAAAAATTAAACTAAATAAAATCAAAATTACCGATTTGAAAAAAACTAAAAGGGAAAAATATTTAAAAATATTAAAGAAATTAATAGGAGCAAAAAGAAAATTTTTTCTATGTAAATTTTCAAAAAACCATGAATTACAATTAAAATAATAATTTTAATTTTTCTCCTTCTAATGAATGTACAGCTTTCCTCGAGCACGTTCCATGTATGCAGAAAGAGACAGTAAAGAGAGAATATAATAAGTGCTCGGACGCTTACCAAAATGGATTAAAGGAAATGGAAAATTCATCACTCTCCGGACGTGGAGGTCCAACTTCTCTACAAGCACTGTGCTGGTAAGTTCTTGTTTTCCCAAAGCAAACCAGAAACATTTTTTCCAAAAAAAAAAATACATTTCTACATTATAAATTTTTTCCTCCGTGAATATAATGTAAATATTCTAATATTTGGTTAAAAAAAGAAGTTTTCAAAATCAAGAATAGAAGAAATAATTAAAAAATATTCTTTTAGCCTCGCTTTTAGCTTGAAAATCGGAATTAAAAAATTATTTTATTCCTTGAGATAAAAAAATCAAATTATTAAAAAAATTATTATCGTCCCTTAAAAAAATATTATGCTCCCTTAGATGAAAAAAAAAGAAATTATCTATTTTCCTTTAAATTAAAAATTAAATTTAAAAAATGTATTTTTTTATATTGAAAATTAAAAAAATAATTGTTACATTCCTTTGAATTGAAAATATACTATTTATTTGTTGTATAATTTTTTAACAATAAAACTTGAAATCAATGAATATTTAAAACAAACAAAATGGATTTTAGCACGTTTTTTACCGTTCTCCAATTAATGTATCGTTATTAAAAAATATTTTGACATTCATTGTCTAGAAATGTAACATTATTTCATACATATATATGTGTTTGTATTATATTCTCTCGTATTAATAAAAATAAAATAGGAAACAACATGCGAAATTTTCATTGAAACATTATTTTTAATTGGAATAACTTTTTTTTCCCAGTACAAAAAAGAAGGCAAATGTTTTTTTAGCTTCTATTCGATGGAAATTTAACTGAAACTTACAACTTTTTCAGGAAAACTATTGAATAATTTTGTTTTCGAATTCAAAGTTCAATTAAAAATTAAATAATTAATTATTGAACTTAAATTACTAAATTTAATTAATTACTAAACTTTAATTATTAAATAGTAAAAATATAATTAATTTTAGATTTGTGTCCAATTAATCTTTCAATAAATATTAATTAAATTGAATTTAGTATTATTAATTTAATTTATTATTAATTTAACTTTGTAATTAAATTAAATTTCTTATTAATAATTTAATTACATAATTTTATTACTTACTAAACATAATATTGAATTTAATATTATTAAAAACAAATTGATGGAAAAAAATTGAAAAGAGAGAGTAAAAATTGCGTCGCATTTTTCTTTTAAATATTCAAATGCGAACTATTGACACTGAAAATATTAACATATTAAAAAGTAAAATTTCACATTCGTTATGTTCATAATAATAATAATATGCATAAAGAGCTTTTTAATTTTCAAAATTGCCAGATTGTATATTCACACATTTCATTTTAATTATGATGATTCATTGCAATGTGATTCGCGTTAATGAAAGCGAATTTTCACCCTTGACATTGAAAAGATATGACGTCATAAACAATATTAGGTGGTAAAATATTTTTATTTGACAAAAACAAAAAAAATTGCAACTACTAAAAAACAAATATTATTCTATTTTCTTAACTATTTTTTAGTAGTTGCAATTTTTTTTTAATAAACTTTTAGCGAAAAATAAAAAGTAGGTGATTCACTTTTTACTATTTTGGATATAAGAAAAAAAAACCAAAGACTGGAACATTTTCTATGCTAGATTACCTGAATTTTTTGCAAAGTGTAATTTTTTTCCCTGCGAAAAATCCGAAATAACGATTGGAGAACACTTTGAAATTATTATGAGTGCAGCAGCTATACAGATGTATATTATATGTGCATTTCTATTGCTTTTAAGGGAAATAAACAAAATTATTCAAATACAGTCCTAGCAACATGTTAAGATCATGTTTCCTAATGAATCTCATGCAAATGAGGAAATGTAATCATACCACTTCCTATACAGTATACTTCACCGGAAACTATGCTCACGTTATGTATGTAAATCGACTATATAGGTGCACTTGAGACCCTTGCGGAACGTCAAGGTCATTATCGTCAAATTTCTAGTTTCACTTTAATGAGAAACATAATGTAATCATTATTTCTCCGCAAATCTACTACTACGTTCAATTATTGTTCTTTATTATTTTTTTTTTTTTTGCTCTTTAAAGAGGAAAATTATATTTTTGCCAATCACGTCACGCTTTTCATTATAGTGAATTTTTAAGTAGCTCTTATTTTCCTTTAAAAGAAATTTTTCTTTTTTTTTTAATTTTTATCAAACCGATTTTTTTTGAAGAATTTCTGTTTTTAATTTCGGAGAATTTCCATTTTTTTATTTCCAAGAATTTCTAATTTTTAACTCGAAGAATTTCCATTCTTTAATTTCGAAGAATTTCCAGTTTTCAATTTGCGGGTTTTTCACTTTTCTATTTCCAGGAATTTCCAATTTTTAACTCAAAGAATTTCCATTCTTTAATTACCAAGAATTTCCAATTTTTAATTTCAAGAATTTCCATTCTTTTATTTCGAAGAATTTCTGTTTTTAATTTCAGAGAATTTCTACTTTTTTATTTTCAAGAATTTCCAATTTTTCATTCAAAGAATGTACATTCTTTAATTTTCAAGAATTTCCAATTTTTAATTCGAAGAATTTCCATTCTTTAATTTCCAAGAATTTCCAATTTTTAATTCGAAGAATTTTTGTTTTTAATTTCAGTGAATTTCCACTTTTTTATTTTCAACAATTTCCAATTTTTAATTTAAAGAATTTCCATTCTTTAATTTCCAAGAATTTTTAATTTTTGAGAATTTCCACTTTTTATTTCCAAGAATTTCCAATTTTTAAATCAAAGAATTTCCATTCTTTAATTACCAAGAATTTCCAATTTTTAATTTGAAGAATTTCCATTCTTTAATTTGAAGAATTTCCATTCTTTAATTTCCAAGAATTTCCAATTTTTAATTCAAAGAATTTCCACTTTTTTATTTCTAAGAATTTCCATTCTTTAATTTCCAAGAATTTTCAATTTTTAATTCAAAGAATTTCCATTCTTTAATTTTCAAGAATTTCCATTTGTTAATTTAGAAGAATTTCTGTTTTTAATTTCAGTGAATTTCCACTTTTTATTTTCAACAACTTCCAATTTTTAATTCAAAGAATTACGATTCTTTAATTTCCAAGAATTTTTAATTTTGGAGAATTTCCACTTTTTTATTTCCAAGAATTTCCATTCTTTAATTACCAAGAATTTCCAATTTTTAATTTGAAGAATTTGCATTCTTTAATTTCCAAGAATTTCCAATTTTTAATTCAAAGAATTTCCACTTTTTTATTTCTAAGAATTTCCAATTTTTAATTCAAAGAATTTCCATTCTTTAATTTCCAAGAATTTTCAATTTTTAATTCGAAGAATTTCCATTTTTTAATTTAGAAGAATTTCTGTTTTTAATTTGGGAGAATTTCCACTTTTCTATTTCCAATAATTTCCAATTTTTAATTCAAAGAATTTTCATTCTTTAAATTTCGGAGAATTTCAGTTTTTTAATTTGAAGAATTTCCATTTTATAATTAAAAAAATTTCCGTTTTTTAATTTCGAAAAGTTTCGATTTTCTAATTTTGTAGAATTTCCATTTCTAATATCGAGAATTTTCATTTTTTTGTTTCGTCGAATTTCCATTTTACAATTTTTATCTCTCATAATATTTCAATTAATAAACATAAAAAAATTAATTTAAAATAAATTATAAAATATATGAAAACATGGAAAATGTTAATTAAAAAATTTCGATAAATTTATAAAATATACGAAAAAACATTTTAATTTGCTACGAATTTTTAAATTAAATTAAAATTCTCTGACCCTGAAAAAATTCGAGTTTATGGAAATTCAACTAAAAATGAAAATCCAGTCAAATGGAAATTCTTTCGCTAAATAAAAATTCTGTAAAGTGAAAATCTCTCAATTCACAAAAATATGATGAAAAAAATTCAAAACAAATAAAATTCTATTTATTTGTTTAAATCGAAAGAGAATAAATAATTTTCTGTATTTCTCTTTGATTTCAAAAAATAATTTTCCGCTCTAAAAAATTAATTTTTATTATTAAATAAATTAATTTATTTATCAGAATTTCTTTAAATCTATTAACCACAATTCCTCTAAGAGAAAATTATTGTAAATAAATTGTGAAAAATAATAGTAAATAAATTATAATATTATAATATAATAATATTATTATATTATTTTAATAATATTATTATATTATTATATTATTATAATATTTACTATCCTTTTTCACAATTTATTTACAATAATTTCTCTAAAAAAATATTCTTTAATTTTATTACCACAGTTTTTAAATAATTTATTTACAATAATTTCTCTAAAAGCAAATACTCTCTCAATTTATTTACCGTAATTTTTAAATAAATAATTTACAATAATTTCTATAAAATTAAATATTCTCTTCTATTTCTATTGAATAATTAAGAAAAAATTATTTCCAATAATTTCTCAAAAAATTTCTAATTTCTCTCTTTCTCTCTCTCTTTCTCTCCTAATTAATTTACCCATAATAATTAAGGCAATAGCTCGAATAATTAAATAAATTTTATTTGAGGGAAAAAAAGAAAATGATTATAATACGAGATGAATATATAAGGTGCGAGAGTAACAAATAACTTTCAACTCTCGACACCTTTCATCCCCTGCAATTGGATCCCAGGGGAACGAGTTGAAAAGCTGCAGCAGACCGTGGCATAGATAGGCTAATGACTTTACTGGGTCTGCACGTGGAAATACCCCGTATATTGAAATGTCCGGCTGACCGAGTAAAGCGCGACGGCAATTTCCCTTCCAGTAAAGTCGTCATTTCTCGAAAAATTATTACTCCGCCGGGAAATGAACACTTTTTTCCTTTTCTTTCCTTCTTTCCGCCTTTTTTCCCCTCATTTTTTTTTTTTGGGTAATTTTATCCATTTAACGGAAAGTAATACGCTATAATTGAAAATGTTCCATTCTTGCAAAATTCGTTTACAAAAAAGGGAAATTAAAAAAATTCTTTTAGGAATAAAAATTAATAAATAATAATTAAATAACTAATAATTAATAAATATGACTGTTTCATAAAATGGGACGAAATTTGGATTTTTTTTGGATTTTTTATTTTATTTTGTATCTTAATTTTTATTTTATCTTATTCTTTATTTTATTTTATATTTTATTTTATATTTTATTTTATATTTTATTCTATTTTCTATCGTATTTTGCTCTATTTTTATTACTTTACTTTTTTATAGTTTAGATTATTTTTAATTTTCTTTCATATTTTATTCGCGATTATTAAATTATTATTATTTCCGGGAATTCAAATATCTGCAAAAAATTTCAAGGACAATTTTTCAAAAACTTAATTTTTTAGAATTTCTAAATTAAATTATTTTAAAAATTCGAATAATTTTTCTAAATTTCAAATCTTCTGCTATTCATTTAATTCTAAAAATTACGATTTCAATTTTTTCAAATTCAATTATTTTCGAAAATTCATAACCAAAATTATTCAAAAGTTTATTAATTCTATAAAATAAATATTTAAATATTATTAAATTTCTACATCAATTGAAATTTCCAAAAATTTTATTTCAAATTCTTCTAAAATTTAACCACAATCTAAAAATTTCTCCTGTTGATCAAAATTTAATTATTTTCGTGAATTTTTAACTAAAATTCTTCTATAAATCAACTATTTTTAATAATTTACAGAAAGTTCTTCGAGAATTAAATTATTGAAATACAAAAATTCGTTTATTTCTCCAAATCATTTATTTTTAATAATTTACTGAAAGTTTATAAAAATCTCTATTATTTAATTTAAAAAAGTCCGTTACTTCTTCAAATCAGTTAATTTTAATAATTTACAGAAAGTTCTTCGAGAATTAAATTATTGAAATATAAAAATTCATTTATTACCCCAAATCAGCTATTTTTAATAATTCCCAAAAAAAATTCTTCGAGATCTCTATTATTTAATTAAAAAAATTCCACTATTTCTTTAAATCAGATATTTTTAATAATTTAAAAAAGTCCTTTTAGAACTCAATTATTTTAATATAAAAATTTAATTATTTTTCCAAATCAATTGTTTTTTTTAGAAATTTACAAAAAGTAAAGTCCTTTCGAAAGTCATTTATTTAATTAAAAAAAATCAAATTTTTTATCAATTAAGCTATTTTTAATAATAATTCACAAAAATTTTCTTTGCGAATTCAATTATTTACAAAAATTAATTTATTTCTCGACAATTTGTTTTTTTAGTCATTTAAATAAAATCTCTCAAAAATTCAATTATTTCAAATACATAAATTTAATTTTTTTTCTAAATCAGTTATTTTTAATAATTTACAAAAAGTTCTTCGATAATTCATTTAATTGAATATTTAATTTAATAAAAAACTTAGTATTGAATTCCAATGATTAAAATTCAATTATTTCTCTCCAGAACAATTATTTTTATTTACAGAAAGTTTTTCGAGAATTAAAGTAATCAAATCCAAAAAATCAATTATTAAACTAAATTTCAATTTTTTTTTTTCTAAAAATTACAACTTCATCTTCATTGATTTAAATTTTTTATGTTTTATTTAATAAATATTATTCAAAAATTTTAAAGTTAAAAAAAAATTAAATTTCATTTTGTTACAGTTACTTCCAAACATATCTGGATTGTTCGCACAACGTCGTGCTCAGAGAATGTGGCTCGGAAACGGCAGAATTTACAAAAAATTTCTTGGACCGAATGTCAAATTCGTTGAGAGATGTAAGTGTCACGAAAAATTAATAATAATGATAATAATAATAATTACGAATAGTTATTTTAGAGAAAAAAAAAGAAAGAAACGATCCCAATTATCATGGACCAAAATGACTCGTAATTAAATTATACGATTCGGAGTTTGTATTGCGACCCGCAATAAAAGTGGGGAAAATTGGCTAATTCTTGTTAAGGGACCAACATTGTCATTACACTGGAGAATACTTATAAACGACTATTGCCCAGAAACTTCAATTACATTTTCTATACATTTACAAATTAAAAGTCTAATGTCCCCACTTGAATGGGAAATGAAAATGACTTTTTGCGAGAAGCGAAATAAAAAAATCTCCACAAATACAAATTCACCAAATTTTTCATGCATCAAACATTTTTAATGTAAATTCAATAATTAATTTCATTAAAAGAAGCATTTAATGATTAATTTCATTAATTTGCAAAAATTTAATCATTTAATATTTAAGATTCAATCTGCAAATTTAATGATTTCCAAAGATGTTCCAAATTTCCTTAATTTGCAAATTTAATAATTTCTTATTTAAGAATTAAAATGCAAATTTAATAATTAAGATTTAAGATGCAAATTTACTAATTGAATTTCATAATTTTCAAATCTAATAATTTAATAATTAAGATTTAAATTCAAATTTACTAATTAATTTATTTAATTTACAAATTTAATAGTTAATTTCTTTAATTTGTAAATTTGATATTTAAGATTTAAGAATTGAAATGCAAGTTTAATAATTAAGATTTAAGATGCATTATTCAATAATTAATTTCCATAATTTCCAAATTTAATAATTCAATACTTAAATATTTAATGAAAAAATAAAAAATACAATTCGATTAAAAATTTGCCTAACCCGATTTTCTTATTCCAATTTTTTTTTTATGTTTCAGGCTCACTGTAAAAATTATCCTCTCTCGTCATGTCCGAGTAACTCGAGTTCGTCCATTAGTCTATCAACTCTCCTGCTGCCACTGCTTCCAGTTCTTATTATACTCAGCAAATACTTCACTTAAGTAGAATGAAAAAAATTGTCGTGAACCGGAAATCAAAGCTTCTGTTAAATAATTACAAAAGAAAAAAAAAAGAAAGAGCAGAAAAAAAATAATTAACAAGCATTTTTTTTCCGTTTTCACGTGTAATAGGCAAAATAAAATGAAATGCCACCTCGCGATGAGAAAAGAGTTTAATCGAAAAGAAAAAAAAAATTACTAGGTAAATTTTACCTGGAAAACAAAAGGAAGATGAAAAAAAAATGGTAATACATTTTTTTTTAGCGATCCCCCGAAACAACTATATATAAATGCAAAACGAAAAAAATATTCTCACTCGTCTGTGATGCTCTCGATTTGCACGAAGAGAAATGAAAGTATACAAAAATATAAACAAATAAATATGTATACACTAAAAAAAAATTATTTGATTCAACTAAACGATTATCTTGTCTAAATAAATTTAATTTATAAATTTAATTTATTTTTTATTTACTATTTTAGTATAAATAGTAACATAATTTATTTGTGCCAAAATTCGAATCAATTTTTGTTTTTAAATTTGTATTTCTTATTATTATTATTACTATTATTTTTATTATTATTATTATTGTAATTATTTTTATTGTTATTATTCGAATACCGATTAATAATTTGTATTTGCTTCAAGTACTGAAACTATTAGTTCAAATACAATTTATTTGATTTCAATAAAAATTAAGTACATTGTTTTTATTTTTCAAAAATTTTTTTTTTTAATTTAAAAATATAAAATAAATAAATTATAATAAACAAGTAAACGTTTAATTAAACCAAATAAATTTTTTTCAGTATAGTTATATATAAGTAAAATATAATTATGTATAACTATATATAAATATAATATAATTATATATAACTATATACAGTTATTTATAACTATTTATAACTATATAGTTATTTTAAACTATTTTCAATTATATAGTTATTTTTAACTATATTTAAGTATAGTTATTTTTAACTATATTTAAATAAAGTTATTTATAATTATAAACAACTTGTTACTAATAACTATATAGTTATACATAAAAATGTATATATTATATATATAAAATTATATTATATATATATATTAAAAAAAATAGAGAAGAAGCGAAGTAGAGAGAATGAATTAAAAAAATGGAGTCTGAAGATGAAGATTATAAGATTATAGGGGAAGAAAAAAGAAAGAGGGGGGGGGGGTAGATGTGAATGCGAAAATCCAGGAGATTCGTTAAACCGAATCCATCTAGCGATTCTAATTAACGGCGAAGCTCCAACAAGTCCTTTTAGGAAAGTATTCTCTATAGGGTCGCAGACATGGCTGTGACTATCTAAAAGTGTTCCCAGATATATAATAATTCCCGTTAAATCTGTTTCCACTCTCGTCTCGGAATCTTAAACAAAGCCACTCATGATTTTCTTTTTTTCTTCATTCAGAAAAAATAGTAAAAAAAAAAATTATTATTATTCTTATTGTCATCATAAGAATTTGTGCGATTTTCGCACGAAAATCTTCAATAAGAGAAAATTGTTTGTTTCCTTTTAAAATTTAACCCTACAATAAATTTTTTAAAAATTAAAAATAATTAAAAATTAATACAGATAGTTCTGTAATTATTACAAATAATACAAATTGTTTTGTAATTATTACAAATAATACAAATTGTTTTGTAATTATTACAAATAATGCAAATTGTTTTGTAATTATTACAAATAATGCAAATTGTTTTGAAATTATTACAAATAATACAAATTGTTTTGTAATAATTATTACAATTAATACAAAAAATTTCGTAATTATTAAAAATTATTACAAAATCTTTTGCAATTTATATTTTTTAATTGAAATTACATTTAGAATCAAATATTTAAAAAAAATTGTTATTGTTTATAATAGATGGTTTATTATATTTATAATAGACTACAAAAATGTTTCGTAACATTAGAAAGATTTTTTTCAATCGAAAGTGAAAAATTGTAAAAATTTAAAAGAAATTGAAAATACTAGATATAAAATACTACAAAAAGTATTTTCAAAAAATGCTGCAAAAATATTTTCAAAAAAAGACTAGAAAAATACTTCCAAAAAATGTTTCAAAAATATTTCAAAAAAAATTATACAAAAATATTTCCAAAAAATGCTACAAAAATATTTCCAAAAAATGTTATAAAAGTATTTCCAAAAAAGCTACAAAAATATTTTCAAAAATATTTCCAAAAGAGATTCAAAGAGATTCAAGAACATTCAAAAATGTTACAAAAATATTTGCAAAGTAAAGCTACAAAAATACTTTCAAAAATATTTCCAAAAGAGCTACAAAAATTCTTTCAAAAATGTTGCAAAAATATTTGCAAAGTAAAGCTACAAAAATACTTTCAAAATAAGCTATAAAAATATTTTCACAATAAAGCTACAAAAACAATTTCGAAAATTTTACAAATATACTTTAGAAATAAAAACAAATTCGTAATTAAAAACAAATAAAATACAAAAATAAATAAAATAAAGAAATAAAATAAATAATGAAATAAATAGAAAATAAAATAAATAATTATATAAAAAAGTATATGAAAAGTTATTTTAAAAACATCCATAAAAAAATCTTTCTAACTACCAAAAATTTTCACAGTAACCGTCATAAATAAACAATAATTAAGAAAATTTTTCTTAAAATCTAGAAAAATTATATTCAATTTTTAACAAAGAAAAAAATAATTCATTTCAATTCTAAATAATAGTAGAGAATGAAATGAACATTGAAAAAAAGACACAACCATGAGTTCCGTCCGTGAAGCGAAAAAATGGGAAAACGAATATCGTAAAATTTGGGAACCGATAACGTAAAATAAAAAAAAAAATTCGTACACGTTGTACGTCGCATATGTATTCTAATACTCGAAAATTATATAGTAAAAATAAAAGCTACAGCAACACTTCTTGGTGTACTTCTGCAATATAATAATAATAATAATAATGAAAGAAAAATCTCTATTGAAAATTTATCATCTGAAACGCAAAATCACTCTATCAAGGCAACAACACTTCAAGGATATTTCTATATAAAACGATCATTATTAGATACTTATAATTGTAATTTTTTTTTTATATAAATCGTATATCTCACTTGACAAATATCAATTTTATTGATACATTTATCAAGCGATCAATGAGAGACAATGTATTTAGCAAATTCATACGGTTTTCGAGACATTTCTAATTTCTTTAGATTTTAATCAACAATATTACTGTGAATTTTTTTTTTAATATTTCCATTTTTATTAATAGAAAAAGAATATTTAATTTTATTAACATAAAAAAATTTTTTTTAAAGAAAATTTCTGTAACAAGAATAAAAATATTTGTATTCAAAAATTGGAAAAATTTTTGAATACAAATATTTTTATTCTTGTTACAGAAATTTTTTTTAAACACAAAAACTTCCATTTTTATTATTATAAAAAAAAATTCAATTTCCATTCTTTGTGCAAAAGAATTTTTTCATTTTTGGAATATTTTTATTCTTTTCATATACCGAAAATATTTTGTTTTAAACACAAAAACTTTCCATTTTTTGATAAAAAAATATTTCTTTTACGACAAACAGAATTTTTTCTTTTACAAAGAAAATTTTTTGTAACTCAAAAAATCGAAAGTTTTTCTCTTTTAAACTTTAATTAGAAAAAACTTTTTTCTAACTGCGCCAAAAAATTAAACAAAATATTTTATCATTGAAAGAATAATTTTATTACCATTGCGAAGCATTTCGAATTGACAAAAATATTCTTTTTCAAAAACAAAAAAAAAAAATATTTCTATCCCAATTTGCATTTTTCGTAAAAGTCATTGTGATTATTTGTTCTCTACTTTAAGCTACTCAAAAATAAATGTTGTTGAAAAATGTCTTATAGAACGAAAGTCAAAGTTAATAATTAAGTGTCTAGTTAATAATTTTTTTCCTTCTTTTCTTTTAAAAGTGAAAAAAATTTATAGATTAAATCTCGCTTCTATACCAAAGATCGACTTTTTCACGATGCTTGAAAAGAGAAAAAAAAATTTTTTTTTTTTTGTAGAAAAGGAAAAAAAAATTATTGATAAAAGTAAATTGTAAGTTTACTTTTATCGTACATAGTAAATTAACAATAAGAAAGCTTTCTATTTAAAGGAAAGGATTAATTTTTTTTCTTTCCCTCTTTTTTCTTTTTTTTTTTTTTTGAACCAAACATCTTGGAAAACGATCGAATAGGAAATGCGAGCGTGTTTGTTATTTTTGTACTGTGTACATATAAAAGATTAAACTATATATATATATTAGATTTTTTTTTTTGAAAGCTCATCTTCCCTCCGGAAGCTGGGCTTTGACGCTTTGATGCTTCCTTCATTTCTAGTTTTCATAAAAGCTCTCGTTTTACAACACACATAAAACGCTCCTCCATTCTTTGGACACAATCGATTAAATTTTATTAATATGCGCTCACGATAAATTCCCCAAGTGAATCAGAACGAGCATTGTTATCACTATACACTTTAAATTTTACAGCACAACTCATAACATAGTCACAGAAATAAATAAATAAATTTATAAATATTTATAAATTATATTATAAATAATATTAGAAATAATATTAGAAATTATATTATAAATAATATTATAAATAATATTAAAAATAATATTATAAATTATATTATACACAATATTATAAATTATATTATACATAATATTATAAATAATATTAAAAATAATATTATAAATTATATTATAAATAATATTATAAATAATATTAAAAATAATATTATAAAATAAATTATAAATTATATTGTAAATTATAATATAAATTATAATTTAATTTTTAATATAATTTTAATATTTTTTATTTCACAATATTATTATGCAAAACTAAAAAAATTATCCATATATAATGAATCTGTTTATAAATAAATAAATAAATACATTTATGAATTTATTTATTTACTTATTTATTTTTAAAACTTTCTATAATTATTATGATTTTTTTCTATTTTTCAATTTCTTGGTGACACACACACCAAAAAAAAAATATATTTTTGAATTAGAGACTACTAAATTATTTATTTCGTTTAGATCAAAATTTTATTTATACCAAGTAAAATTTTTATTTAAACAAAAAATAATTATACAAATTTAAAAATAGTTTTAAACTATTTATTTGCTTTAAATAAAAAAATAATTTAGTAGGCTCTGTG